GGGAACTTAATATAACTTAATTAATAGAAACTAAAAAAAATCATTATTTTAAATAAAGATTTTGGTCAACGTGTAGTAGAGCACCATCAAACCATGTAGTCATTTCAGGGCTGCAACTGTTTTGAATAAATCTAATTTATTATGAAATAATGCAGCATTGTATGTGTTTTTTAATATTTTATTTGTGCACAAATACCATTTAACGTACTTATTGAAAATATATTCATCAATATGTATATATATATATATATATATATGCAATTTATTCAGACATATAATGTATAAAAATCTTAATAAAAACAATTTACATTTTCCTTTTATGTGGCTCAAAATATTAGGGCTAAGTTATATAAGAATACTTAAGAGCCTGATATAAGAACATAAATGTTGTGGGTCAATAGATTTAGTCAATTTATACCAACCAATTTCAGAAATTAGTACTCTGAATATATCCAGTTTGTTATATTTAAGGCCCATTCATTATAGCAAACTGAAAAAGGACTATTACTAATGAGAAAAAATCACAAATGACACCTGTATTTTTAATTTTCAAATCATGTTATATAAGTAAGAAGGAAAACTAAGAATATCAATGTGATCTTCATTTCTATACGCTTCTAAAATTGTTTGTGTGTGTACATATATTTCTCCATTTAGGGGAGACACACACACACCAATAAATAATTCAAATTAACTTATCCTAAATGGAGACATTGTTAATAATCATTTTTAAATATATCAAAATACTTAAAGAACAAGAAAAACGATTGAATGGATCTCTTCAGCAATTCTAGAATACATACATATAAATCAAAGTGTCTAAAACGGAATAATTTTAAAAGAAGTGGATAATTATATGACATTTCACTATGCAATTTCCAGTTGATATTCTGATAATGCAACACTATATAAATTGTAAGGCTATTTTTTATTTTTATAAATACATTGATATAATGAGATATGTTTTTCACAAAATCAAATTCATTTAGCACTTGTCTACTTTGGATATTCACTACACATGGTTTATGTGCACTAACTATCCTGAATTTTAAAATGATGCTATTTAACAGCTTGGGAATTTAATACCACTGTAATACTTAGGCAAATAGGTTGAATGTGAAGAGTTAAATCAAAGAATAAATATAACTATAAATAAAGAGTATCAGAAACAACATACCTCTTGCAGCAGCACAGTAAAGATGAGCCACTGTCTCATTAAACCTATAAAAACACTGGGGACAAGAATTCTGAACATCTGCTGGGCAGGCTTGTGT